GTGTGCACCATTAGGCATGATGCACTAGTGAGAAAGTTATATCTCTACTTGTGTTTTGTGAAAATTCCACAACTTAGCTATTTTTCTAGTGTCAGCTAATACATTGCCACATTTATCAAACTTGTAGCAAACAGGCTATTTAGCCCAACTGGTCTATGTTACTTATATTTATTCATTCAGGGAGGGGAGGCTTCACAAGATGCCTCTATTAGTGCCCATCCTCAAATGTGCTTTAGAAGGTGGTGGTGAGCTACCATTTGGTATAGGTACACTCAATGTTGTTAGCATATTTATTCCGTTCAAGATATTTCCCACTTTAACTACCTCTGTATCACTTTGCTCCTTAACCCCTCAGTTCCTTTCCAGTGTCAAGCAAGCTTCCTTTTATAGCAATGATTTCTGTTTAACCACTCCTTGAAGCATCAAGTTCCACCTTTGCCCTACTCTTGGTGTGAAGAATTTCTTGCTTAGGTCATTATTTGATTTGTTTACTATTTAAATTTTGGCTTACCCACAAGAAACTGTTTTTTCCTTCCCCAATGCCAACACTAAGACGGCATAATTCAAGTTCATCATCTCCATCTGCCAGTTCAGTTTGAAAACATTACGTTACTACACACAATGCACCATTTGTATACTCAGCTACTAAACTTAGTTTTACAGTTTACCTTAATGACTGCCTGCTTAAGCAAGACTTGCGTGCAAGTATATAGAAGGAAGGATTCCGCAATCATCACCACCTCATTCTGATCTCTAATAATTATTAAAGAGTGAACGCCCACATCTTCATGCAGTGGTTTCTACACAGTATCCAGGGGGTGTCTTGTCAGTCTCTACCTAATTGTATCACTCTTGTCTCCTAGTCCTTTAGGCTTGAGCACACAATCCAGGCTGACCGTTCAGCACAGTACTGAGAGTGCTACCCGAATAAAAGGTGCCGTATTCTGAATCTTTAAACTACCGACTAATGTGAAACTAAATCAGCAAAAACTACTCCCTTTTTCCAATGTGCTCAAATAATAAACTCCAAATTATAATAAAAAACAAAAAGGAAGTGTACAATCATTGAAAGGGCATTAAATTCTACTTTGTAGCAAGTTTGGAAGGGAGGGCATTTAATCAGGCTGCAAGATACAGAGTGAGGACCCCACTACCTTCCTATTTGCCCAATTAAATCCCGAGCAGGAGAACTCATGGAATGGCTTCTCACCCAGCTGACGTCCACTCAAGGAGCTCATCCACTGTTTTAGTGCCCAATTGAGTAACCCTGCTAAGTGCCTTCAAATGAATAACCTTAAATCAGTGCCCTCTCTCTCTCACCTCTTCTGCCAATGGGAACAATTTCTCTGCAAATACCCAGTCCAAAAAAATGCATGATTTTGAATACATTTATCAAGCCTCTCTCTACACCTTTTCCTCCTTACATAGATTGAGAAAGCTGGGGGTTCTTCTATCATGGTAATTGAAATCCCTCATCCCAGGGACCAATCTTGCAATTTTTTTCTGCACTTTCTCTAATGTCTTCACACCCTTCCTAATACATGGTATCTAAAACTGGCACAATATGCCAGTTGAGTCTGAACCAATGTTTTATGAAGGGTTCATCCTTACTTTTGTTCTCTGTGCCTCTATCTATAAAGACCAAGATTCTGTTTGCTTATCCAATTTCAAGCCACCTTCAAATGATTTGTGCACATACACAACAGGTCCTTCTGTTCCTGCACCCCCTTAATTTACACTGCAAACTAGGCAACATGCCATTTTCTGAACCCACTATTTCACATGTCACAGGATGAATGGCTTCCTTCCGTGCCACAAATCTTTCTAGGCTTCACTGTGTACTCCAGGCCACTGGCTATGAAAGTCTCACGTGTACCAGTGGTATCACATGTTCCTCTCCCAGGGCCACCCAGGCATAGCCATAGCTGCAAGAGGGGATGTCGGTAGGTGCAGCAAATGTAGCTGATAAGGAAAGCATTTCTTTTTTGGGGGGAATCCTCAATCATCATGGCCCACAATCCAATCTGTTTCCAGATTTGGAGATCCTTTGAATCTCTGAAATCCAGTATGCCTTTCCGCACCCACCCACCCCACCGCCCAATTTGTAAATCTGAGGTTTTTAGTGTCATGATGAGACACCACCTACAAATAAAAGGCCCAGACAGTTAGGGACCATTCCAAAAGAATGAATGCACCATTTAAGGTGAAAGATCGAAACCCCCACACAATGAGCAGCACTGTTGGAGGTTAGTCAGGGACACCATTCTTGGGTGAAAATAGTCAGATAAAAGGACGAAGTGAATTAGGATTACCAAGGAGAAGCAGAGTGAAAGGATTCAAGTGTTCAACTATCCATGGCCAATTCTAACCAGCAGGTACCAGTGTGGCTGCTTCAGTACTTGGTCTGTGGAGGAGGAAGAGGCAGTTGGTAAAAGATGGTAAATCTGTGTCATTGTGGGAAAAGGATGAGGGATGATCTGACACGGGAATCTGCTTAACAACCAAAAGCGAAGAACCAGCTTTAAACCTTGCCCACAAGCACATTGGACAGCTCAAGTGTGTTGTTTCAGCGTGTGTGTGTGTCCAAATCTCATTAAAAAGCATTTGGCCATCACTCAGGGATTTAATTAGCTCTCAGCACTCTTGCCCAAAGAACATTCTGGAACATTCACTATAACAACAAGAGCTCCCAGATCAAGCTATAACAGCTGAAGACTATGTCATTTGCCTGCATATCCATGGGAACAAACAAAGGCCTGAAGCCGAAGGAAGACCAGTGGAATCCCCACTGAATTGAAATTAGAGATTTTTAGGAGTAGTCATCAGACTGCATTACTGGCCTGCGGCATTTCTGCAGCCTTCAGTCAGGACACAGTTCAGAATAACAAAATGTAAACTAAACAAACATTCACAATAATTACACCTATCCTTTGGTGTTTTCAAAACCGATGCACATGTATACTGTATGCATACAAGAGATCATAAATGTACCCAAGTCATACCAAGCAGGAACATTCTGCCTTTTCCACTTGTGTACTGTAATGTGCAGGAGCTAATATGGAGATAGACAAGGATCATACAGCAGCAGAACATTTAAAAAAAAATCATTTCCTTTTACTCCATGTGTTCTGCACACGTATACCAGGCATACAATGACCAGGATGGGAGTGAACCGGTCTCTTTTAGGTATAGCAGCTGACCGAGACACACGCGCCAATGGAATAGTTTTGCTTTTCTCCAGTAATAAGCAAATTTTTGCATCTGAAGCCTCAAAGCCCAAATAGAAAGCCTTTTTATTGATTAAATGAAGAGCATTAAGCTTTCCTGCTGCACTCAGACTGGAAAAGCTTTTAACCCAATTATTGGCTCAGTCTCCACGCTATTCCTGTCCATGATTACTAAAGGCAAGAACAGCCCAAGGCAAAAGGCCACTTTACTGAAACGTAGAAACAATTTCTTCCATAGAATCTCACAGCGCAGAAAAACAAAAGAGAAAACTTCAATTTACATAATGTTTTTCTTGACCTCAGGACATCCGTAAGTGCTTTAGAGTTAATGTAGTACTTTTACAAATGTGGGACTTCCAGCAACCTACTTTCACACAAGTTCATACAAACAAAAATGTGAACATGAGCAGATAATTGGCTTTGGATGTACAAACATAGAATTTCTGAGAAGTGGGCTAGTCTGTCCCTCTGGCTCACTCTGCCATTCAGTAAGACCATGACTGAACTGCTTGTATTTGAATTTCCCATCTACTTCCAATAATCTTTGATTCCCTTGTGCAGCAAGAATCTATTGACTTCTGCCATAAAAATATTCAATAATCCCCCAGCACCAACTCCACTGCTTTCTGTGGCACAGGGTTTCCAGAGTGTCTCAAACTTGGAGAGAGGCAAATATTCCTCTGTCATAGAAAGGATGACCTCTAATTTAAAAAAAAAAAAAAAAAAAAAAAAAAGTGTCCCCAGTTCTGGATTCACCTGCGTTAGGAACCATCCTTTCCCTGTCCACCGCGTCAACGTTATGCAGGATCTTATACTCTTCAATTAAGTCAACCCTCATTCATCTCGTCCCCAGTGGGAACAAGCCCAGCCTGTCCAACATTTCCTCATATTACAAACCACTCATTCCAGTAAACCTCCTCCAATGCATTTAAATATCTTTCTTTACACAAAAAGGAGACCAATACTGTACACAGTATTTGAGATGTGGTCCCACAGTGCCTTCTAAAGCATAACATGCTTATTTAAGTCAATGTCTCGTTAAAAGGAATAAAATTCCATACACGTTCTTGATTACTGGTTGTAACTAAATATTAACTTTTAGAGACTCATATTAGAATACCTGGATCCCTTTGTACCTTGACAACAGGAGACATGTAAATAGTCATCAATAGCCTCCTTCTCCTATGTGGCCCATCTAGCTGCTTTGTCATTCAATATAATCATATACGTTGATCCTCTAACAACTCCATACTCCTACTCTCTCCCATTTCCTTGATACCTTCAGTTTCTAGAAATCTATTTCTTTAAGTATATTCAGTGGCCTCATCTGCACAGGCTTCTGTGGTAGAGGATGCCACAGGTTCACCACCCTCTAAAGGTGAAGTAAGTTCTTCACATCCTGGTATGAAGTGGCCTACCATACATGCTGACACTATGATCCTTGTTCCAGACCCCACCTCTCAACCAGGGGAAACAGCCATGCATGCACTCTATCCAGCACCATCAAAACTATATACACATTTCAAGAAGACCTTCTCATTCTTCTAAACTCCAGTGAATACAAGCCCAGCTGAACCAGTCTCTCCTAACACACAAGTTTACCATTCCCAGAATCAACAGTTTCCCTCAATGGCAAGTATAGATTTTTCTACGGGAGGGAAATCAAAACTGCAAATAACATTCTAGACGTGGTCTCACCAAGACCATGTGGAACTGCAGCAAGATTTCCCTGCTTTCTGAACTCAAGTCCTCTTGCAATGAAGGCCAACATACCATTTGCCTTCTTAACAGCTTGCTGCATCTCATGCTCGCATCCAGTCACTCCTGTACAAAGACAAAGACAATCATTGGGTAATTTCATTAAAAAGGCAAAATCAGTTGGAGCTGACTCACCCCTCATTTAGATTTAGAACCTAGATCTGGAATGGGCTATTAATTCACTTGGACCTCTCAACAAAATCATCAATTAACTCCTTTTGTTACATAAAATCAAATCTTGGATTGCCTGCCCCAATGTACTAGTCTAAAAGTCCATCTTGTATGTACTCCAGGTATTCATTCACAATGTTATCTATAACCTGATGTTGTGAGACTTCTCAATATTATCACTAACGTTCACCAGTTTATATGCAAATTAAAATCATGCATACAACAAGGGTGCTGCAATATGGATGTCTAATTTCATGTTTAATGCCATCTCTATCTCACCTGGTTGGAGGCCTATGGGTAGCTCCCACTAATATTTTCCATTCCTTCTCAACTTCACCCAGACTAATTCTACATTTAAATTTTCTGTCCCAATGTCCTTTCTCACAATCACACGGATTTTTTCTTCTGCCAATGTCTTCTCTTCCATTTTGCCTGTCATTGTGGAAGATGGATTAACTTTGGGTGTTCGGTTCCCAGCCTTGATCACTTCACCATGTCTCCGCAATTACAATCATATCATACCCAGGTACAACTATTTGAGCTGTAAATTAGTCTGTCTTACTGCAAATGCATCTTGCATTCAGATACAGTACCTGCAGACTTGTCTTTTTGACATGCCTATTTTTGATACACCTCTTTGCCATTAGTCCTTATTTCCTCTGCCTTACTGAGTTATGGCAAGTGGGCAGGAAAGTGGAGCTGTTGCCAAGATGAGATCAGCCATAAAAAGGCAGAGTAGGCTCTAGGGGATGAGCTGCCTATTTCTGTTCCTTGTTCTTATTTTATATTGTTTCACATTTTCTGTCCACCTTTCTATCATCAGTTTCCATCTTTGTTTCATTCACATTTGCCTCCCCTCCCAGGTTTCTATCCAGATGCCACTCTAGATTAAATCCTTCCCCACTGTACTAACTAATGCTCCTGTTTTGATACTGGTCTCAATCCTGCTGAGGTGCCTCATCTTCCCCAGAATCAATCTGGATACCTCATGAACCTAAATCTTGCCTCCCTACACCATCCCTTCAGGCTCACAGTGAGTCTAATCGTCTATTCCTGAATTTGCCAACATGTGACATGGGGAGTAATCCTGAGATTGTAAAAACATATGAAATAGAAACAGCAGGGCATTTATCCACTCAAACTTTCTCCACCATTCAATAAGATTACAGCTGATCTGCCACAGGCCTCAACTCTTCTTCCATGCCAATTTCTCAGTCCTCAACATTTGAATATTTTAAAAATCTATTTCTCTTTAAATAATTTCAGTGATTTAACCTCAGGCACAGAGAATTCCAGATATTCACTAGCCTCTGGGTGAAGAAATTACTTCACATCTCAGTTTTAAAATGAGTGTCCTTTTATTCTGTAACTATGTCTCCCAATGTCATTCAATACTTCCCACCAGTAGAAACATCATCTCAGCATCTAGGTTGTCAAGCCCCCTCAGAATGGTGTCTGCTTCAATAAGACCACTCCTCAATTCTTCTAAACACTAGTAGGCCAAACCTGTTCATCCATTCTTGAAAAAAAATCAATCTTTACATCCCAGTAATCAACCTAGTGAAACTCTTCTGAAACTTGCTCTAATGCCAGTATATTCTCGCTTAAGTGTGAAGAAAAAGACTGTACTCCAGTTGTGGCCACACCAACACCCTGTGCAGTTTTACTAAGACTTCCCTTACTTAAACTCCCACCCTACCCACTAGCAATAAGAGGCCAAAATTCCATTTGTCTACTTGACAAGTTGCTGCTCCTTTTGTGTTTTTGCTGTATTGTTTTGAGTAATAGTCTGCCTCTGATTCTTCCTACAGAATGTGCATGATCTCATCATTTTCCTTGTATGAAATTCCATCTGCCAAGTTTTTTTTTGCTCACTTACTCAACTTGCAAATTCTTATGTTGTCATCTTGCCCTCCTACCTTTCTCTTTTTTTTTTTATAAAATTCATTCATTGGATGTGGTTGTCACTGGCTGGCCAGCATTTATTGCCCATCAAGAGGTCAGTCACTAATGAGAGAAGGTTGGGGGCGGGGAAGATAACTGACCAACAAATGGCTTTATAATGGCTTGTATAGCCATTATAAAACATCAGGCCCGTGACATGAAGCAGGTTTCTTCCTCCAATCAGCATTCTTCATTTCCCTCTTTACTCCAGGCAGAAATTTCGCTTCACACATTCCAGATGGAAGACCACTGGCCCATCAGAGCTCAACCATCCAAAAAGAAGAAGTGAAAAAGTGATTATTTCTTCCATCACTGCATACTACTGCAATTGCAAAGCTTTAGTCTCCAGTTTCTCCCTTGGTAGAGATTTGCAAAGCCTATTTAAATCTTAAATTTATTGCCGTTCCAACCCTTTGTGTCATAAAGTCAAGGAAATATACAGCATGGAAACAGACCCTTCGGTCCAATTCGTCCATGCCATACCACCAAATGTTCCATGCAGTATCCTTCTGAGTATTGGAGGCCTTTTCTTTTTAAAAAAAAAATTTCATACTTGGCTCACCAAATCTATAAATACACTACAAAAGCAACTGCAGTGACTCTTTTTTCATTGTTGCTAACTGACAACAGAAACAAGCACCCACGATATTGTCTCAAAGCCATCCTAAGTAAGCAGTTTGATCATTGTTCTATTTGAGGTCCTATTTCATCATCCTACTCAACAATCTAAATGGACTGTGTATCTTCAGGGAGTTAATACTGTGTAAGCTGAACCCAACCTATGTCAATACCACAGGGGAAAACAAGATAAAATCCTTCCAGTACCAAGTGAAGATTCTAAAATGTAATATATATAACATCTCGGTTTCTCAAAAGACATACTGAAATGAATTAAACTTTTCCTGCAGTGTTATTGTCACTAAGTTTAGACTGTGGAAACCTAATGACTAAAGAGAGAGAACAACAAAAATAAAAAAACCCAAAAGGATCTTCTCATTTTTCAGATAAATGCAACATGTCCCCAGCCGTAGCTAGGACCCTGAACCTCCCATATCAAGGAGGACTAACAGCTGAAGGGCAAGTAATTGACGAAATAAAGGTGAGAAATCCTGAAGCTTTACCGCGTCGATAGGATGAAGCATATATAATCTGTAATGACTAATGCTCATGAAGGACCCTGGATTCTATTGCTGTCTTTGCTGAGGGGCTGATATCTGCCAAGGCACTGGTTGGAGGAAAAAAAAATAATCACATCTGGCACCAGCACAGGCATGAAGAAAAAAAAACCAGTAAGGATTCCTCCATCTGCGTATTCTTAACACTGCTGGAAGTTACAGAATTGTCAAACATTCTGACACAGACAGGGCATCCAGTACATCAAGTCACCATTAGTCATTTATCCCCCCCATTCTGTTGTTTACCACCTTCTGAATGGGTGCAGCTCTAACAACACCAAGAAGCTTGACACCATTCAGGATTAAGCCGCCCACTTGATCCATAAACACCCATTCCCTACTGAAGCTCAGTAGCACGAGTGTGTAATATCTACTAGACACGCTGTAGGGTTCCTTCTACAGCAGTTTCCAAACCCACGACCACTAACTTCTAGGACAACAGGGGCAGCGGATACATGGAAACACCATCACTTGCAAGCTCCTTTCCACAGCATGAATCGTCACGACTTTGAAATATAATCACCATTCCTTCAGTGCTGCCGAGTCAAAAATGCTGCAACTCCTGTCTTAATGCCATTGTAAATGCACCTACAGGAAATGACTGCAATGGTTCAAGTTGGCAGCTCCCCAGTACCTTCTCAAGGGGAACTACGGATGGGTAATAAGTGATGACCCACCAGCAACAGGCTTACCCATGAATTAATTAAAATTTTGTCACCCTACAAGCAACCAAAACACTGAATTTGTTTTCAGCTTTGCTATAGCAGGATTTGAACTCTCAATTGTCCAACAGCATAAACACCAGGGCACCATCAAACCCTCTCTGAAGCATTGCTGTTGCTTCAAAACAATTCTTTGGCCAGACACCGATGTCCAGCACCATATGAAGTGGCCACTCCTCATCTTCCATTTCTCATGGAGGCTCTAGAATGTGTTAGTGGCCGCACAGATCTTACTCACCTTTTCCATAAGTCTGTTTTAATCCAGTCTGTCTTCAGCCCCATCCACAGTGCAAACTACCATGGTCGGGGTCAACAATGACATTAAGTATGATGGCTTTAACTTTCTTCCTCAATCAATACGTCATCCTGTGTTTTTCACTTCTCCCCATGCTTTACAGTCAAAGTCATACAGCACAGAAAAAGACCCTTCAGTCCAACTCATCCATGCCAACGAGGTTTTAGTTAGGATGGGGTGTATGTATTGTTATTCGCAAGACTTTATTCACATACGGGACAGGGCAGTTTGACTAGGTCTTTTTCTCTGTCTGCTTTTGTTTGCCTGCCCCTGCTCATCTGTCTCTCTTCCCTAGTTAGTTTCCTTGCTCATGTAGTTCTGATCTCAGACCCCAATGTAATATCTCCTCCCATCTCCTTTCTTAGTATTGGTCTTTAGCTCCAACTTATTCGGCATGGATTGCAGTTGGAATCCCACCTTTCTGATTTCAGATCCAGCCACAATTACAGACATCCGAGACATGTCATAATTCCTTGAAGCACTGAGCTCACTATATCCCAAGATCCACACAATGTCATGGACCACAATATGCATATTCTCAACTTCTCTCTTCAGCAGCTGACTCACTAACTCAAAACTGCCCTAGTCCAGTTTCGTTTGATCCTAAATTCAAAAGCTTAAACAAAAAAAAAAAAAAAAAACCTGACCTTCTTTCAAGGGTGAAGGAAGCTTCAACATTCCGCGAATACAAACAGCCCTTTGGATTCTTCTTCCCATTCACTTCCCTCTGATCTCATTCCTTCTTTGAATCTGCTTCTT